CAGACTGTCATGCAGAAGTTACAGGTCAAAATTAAATTCAGGTTAAAATCTTTTATTCTAGCAATGATTTAAAGCAATCTTTTCTTACTTTTTCAGGATCCATACTTCAGAATGACTCGTGATGTTGCTCCACGTCTGGGTTGTCCAAAACCCTCTCTGATATTTTCAACATTCTTTCCTGCCCTTCAAGGTGCTAAAACAAAAATGAGTTCCAGTGATCCAACTTCTTCTATATTCCTTACTGACACACCTGCTCAAATTAAAAAGAAGGTAGATATTTTCATTTGTTCTTTTAAGCACCTGATTCCAGGGGTTGCTTCAAAAAGTTTCACACGGGGAGGAGGTTCAACCCAATACCCCTCCTCCAAAAAATTCCTGTGGGAAAATTTGTAAATATTTGTGAGAAGTACCTGAGTACTAAAATATTACCCTAATTCAAAACCAAGTGTGGTTTAGCACAAAACTTTCATGTAGACAAAGAATGAGGAAATTCTTAGTGTTTGATGTGATGAAATAGGGAAAATGTCATCTGAAAAAACGAATTTTGCTTTGGGTTTGGTTACCACAGCAACAACTTAAATGAAAAAGTATGCAACTATAGTAAACTTGCTGTAGCTTACAAAAACAGTTCTTTGGTATCCAAGAGTGCTTACTACTTTGGCTTTTTGTGTTCTTTTTGCCTTTCTGAATTTTTGTTTTGGCTCTATCACAATTAGTTGAGACACTATGGTCTCTGTTAAGATCAAGCATACATGTGTAAATAAATTGACAGCAAATATCCTAAGAGGGGGGTGTTTGCATCCATCATATCTCAGTAGTTAGCATGGGGACCTCAATTTTTTATTTTCATTTCTGCATGTATTGAACTTCACATAGGGAATGTTTGACAATAATTTCAGTGTTACTTCAATTTCAGAGAAATAACCTTAAGCGCAGACAGATTCAGGCTGGGTTAAGCTTGCAAATAAAAAGAATCTATGACTATTGATGAGACAGTTAAGTAATTAAGTGAACCTTTTGCAAGCATGTGGAACTGTTCAAGAAATCACGCATGTATATATTGGAGCAATGCATGTGACTGTTTGACACTGAAGGTATAATAAGTTCTTATTCATTGCCACAGGTAAATAAGTATGCTTTTTCTGGAGGCCGAGATACAGTTGAAGATCACAGAAAGTATGGTGGAGATATCACTGTGGATATCGCTTATCAGTATCTCACTTTCTTCCTGGAAGATGACGAAAAACTTGCTCAGATAAAAGAGGTACTTAATTTTCTTTTCATGTGACTTCACTAGTGCTTCTCTTTACCTAGCATAATATTTATCTTTATAATAGGCATTCCACTTAAGTTATCCATCTGTAAGATGGAGACCTTTGGGACCAGCAAGAAGCATCCATCTTTAATAGAGAAATGTCCATTCCCAGAATGATAGTCAAAAAAGGAGTAAAGAAAGGCAGGGACCAACTCTAGGTATTTTTCTTAGGCAGCGGCCTTGGAAGTGGAGAATAAAGGAGAGGTTCTTTCTCTTTTCCCCCGCCAAGGAGCCTGGTGGTGTCAAGTACTAGTGTCTCTAATTTAAAATATTTATGTTTTCCAGGATTATTCAAGTGGCAAAATGCTTTCAGGAGAAATAAAAAAGGAACTGATTTCTGTGCTTCAGCCATTAGTCGCAGAGCATCAAGAAAGAAGAAAACATGTCACAGAAGATGTTGTTAGAGAATTTATGACTCCAAGAAAACTGGAATTCCCTGGTCTTAACAAATGAATGCAAATGGGATGCAGATTCAATCAATTTGCAATAACTTAAAATATCATTCGGATAGCTGCTGTTTCATATTAAAGTGGGTAATCACACCCAGATTTATTAAAACATTTGAAGAATTACATTATTGGAGTGAGATGTGCAACACTCTGCTCCTTCCATTATTGGTGCTAATATTATTATTGGACCTCTTCTTTTTATTGGTCCATAATCTATACCTTCCTCAGGTACTTAATAATGAGCTTAAGCCATGAGGATAGCAACGATATCGACAACATACGTGCTGTTTCAAACTTCATTGCTCTTTTAATATTCCAACTCTTTTAATTTTGTCAAATAATGACGATTTGTTCAGGAGTTGAATTCTATAGGACTGCATCTAAGTTTAGGAAAAGAAAAACAAAATCATTGCCTTTTGCTCGTGTCCTCCAACGTGAAATTAGGAAGTTTCACGTTGTACAATGATGACAAAGCAATGTACAAAAAAGCATGATGCAGCTGCTTTTTTGCCTTTCTTGTTGCTGTCACCATCGTTGTTGCTTAAGCTCCATAATACCAGTGTGTTACCAGCCAAGAATTAGGTGCATTTTTTGATCCTTTATCTAGACAGTGTTTTGTGAACTGCAAACAGTGATCACTGATCTCCGTGCACCTGTTCAAGTTTATGGCCAGTACATGTACAGTTGTTTGAAGAGTCATCAAAGAATGTGAAGATGTTCATCTTAATAAAAACTTCTAGAAAATTCCTGTATGATATGTTTTTGCAACCAGAAAATTAAACTCCTGATATTAAAAGCTAAGATTTTAGAGGCAGTGACCTGAGTGACATTAGACTTTTGAGGTTCTTTTGCAGAGAACAGGCCTGACATAATATTTGTTTAGTTGTCTCCCAAGTGAAGCACTTTCAAAATGATCACCATTTGTTCTCTGTAGATTAAACCTCATATCCCAAGACAATGTAGGAAATATTAAACAATTTTTTCTTAACCACTGTGTTAATTTCCTGTTGTGTTGCAACCAATATGTTTATTTCCTCTTACAAAAGTGGATGATAAACCTGTTAGGTAATACATCTTTCATGAAAAATATTAAGGGAAAGTTCATTTAAGGTGATTCCCTAGTTTTGCACTGCGCATCTCTTACTGCGCATAACAAGATGGCCACCGTAAAAAAGAGCATGTGAAGTAATATTATTAAAATGAAGTTGACTGAAGAGAAACGCTATTGGAATTTTTGCTTGCTGTTGTTTCTTGCCGAGGTGAGACTCAATGTGTTGCGAATGTGCATAACGTAAGCAGTACGCGTGTTGCTGAGTTCGACCTCCTCTCGGAGAACCTCGATAGTGGATGTTTAACTTGTGCTTACTCACTTTGATTTTCATTTAAACACTTTCTTTATCACATTGTGTCCTAAATGTGATATCTCGATGTAAATTCTGTAAAAACGGACTTTTTAATACTTTCT